TTTATAGATAAGGAAATCAAGCCCCTAGAGCCAGAGAATCATAGGATTTATTGCTGGAAGTGACCACAGAGGTCATCCAGTCCATACACTTAATTTTACGCATAAGAAAACTGAAGCCCAGAGAGGTTCAGTCACATAGATGGCAGGGGAGGTCCTCTGACTTCAGATACATTGCTTTTTTCCATTGCCTCATATGTTCCTTGAGCGAAATGATCTGCTAAATCCAAAGGGACAAAAGAGCTAGGATTCAAACCCCAGCGTTCAAATCTGTTATATGTAGCTGCCTGTGTGAGAAAATCATTTCCCCTTTCAGGGCCTCAGTTTGGATATTGAGGGTGAAAGAAACTAGAAGTTAAGGATAACACGTAGGTTGTGAGCCTGGGTGACTAAGTGGATGGTGATTTCTTTGACAGAGAAGTTAGGAAGAGGGGAGAGTTTTTTTTGGGGGGGTATTTAATATAGAGGCAGCTAGGTGGTACAGTAGATAGAGTGCCAGGCCAAGAGTCAGGAAGACTCATCTTCCTGAGTTCAAATCTGGCCTTAGGCACTTATTAGCTGTGTGACCTGGGCAAGTCACTTAACCCTGTTTGCCTCAGTTTCTTCCTCTGTCAAATGAGCTAGAGAAGGAAATTGCAAACCACTCCAGTGTCTTTGCTAAGAACACCCCAAATGGGGTCAGAAAGAATCAGACACAGCTGAAAAGGACTGAGTAATAACAAAGATGATGAGTTCAGTTTCAGACACGTTGAGTTTGAAAGATCAGAAGGAAGCCTATTTTAAATCAAACGTCTAAGGAAAGTCAAGGTAAAAAAATGAATTCCATATTGTTTGGTATTCTAGGCTGTACTCAGAGGGCAGGGAGGGACGGTAGTTATTTATCTTAGCTTTGTGGGAGTCGGAAAGTCCTGCCAAGTCACAGGAACACTGCTTCTAGCTAAAACAAGCATCTGACCTTAAGAAGAGGACTTTTGAACAAAAGCAACTCCAAGAGTGGGTAGAATCGAATAAATATAGCAGCCCTGACCCCAGCAGGCTGGAATAGTCAGCCACTCTGCAAACTGAGGCCAGGGCCCACACTGGAATGATGATTGTGCATCAGCTGATGAGATGTGATTCATGGCGTTGGAAAATGACAGGTCTAATGGAGTGGAAACCCAAGCCAAAGGCTGCTTTGGCAACAGTTACTCAGTGTCATCCATATCTGCATAAGTGCTGCTCTCTCTCTCTCCCTCCCCTGCCCCAGTCCCAATTGGGAGGCACTTTGGATGACTTTTTTTTTTTAACCTGGACTTGTTTCATCAGTAAAGGGAGAGGTTCAGGCTAAGTACTTCTGCCTATGTTGATCAGCACCTTCTTTGTAATTTATGGTCTTAGAAGGTTGCCTGGGACAGTTAGAAGTTAAGTGACTTACCCAGGGTCACATAGCTTGGAAGGAATAGTGGTTTCTTCAACTTGGTCACTTATTAACCATGTGACTTCGGCAAGTACTCTCACACACAGCACTACATAAAAGTCAGTTATTAATGTATTTTTCTCCATTGGAGTGGCATTGTGAATTAGTGGGTAGAGAACTGCCTAATGAGTCTGGGACAGCTGGATTCAAGTCTCACTTCTGGCACACATTGGCTGTATGCCCCTGGGCAAGTACCTTAACCTCTGCGTGCCCCTGGTAACTATTGAAGACTTCTTGTTGTTCAGTCCTTTTTGGTGTTTCAGTCCTGTCTGACTCTTCCTGATCACATCTGGGGTTTTCTTGGCATAGATACAGGAGTGATTTGCCATTTCCTTCTCTGTCTTATTTTACAGAGGAGGAAACTGAGGCAAACAGGGTTAAGTGACTTGCCAGGGTCACACAGCTCTAAGTGGCTGAGGCCATATTTGAACTCAGGAAGAGGAATCTGCCTAACTCCAGGTCAGACGCTCTATCCCCTGCACCACCTAGTTGCCCATCTCTAAGACTATAAGTTGCCAAGTAGGTGCCAGTCTACCCTGGAAGAAATTTCTCAATGGGAGATTCCCCAAACCAATGAAATCACAAGTATTAAAAAAAGTCCATTTTACAGGTAAGGAAACGGACTCATCAAGGGGTTGCAACTTGTCCAAGGTTGCAGAGCTAATAAGTGGCCAAAGCTAGGACTCAAATCCAAGTCTCTTGGTTCCAAGTCAAATGAGTATTAATTCTGTTCCGCCGTAGCTGGCTCGTTCTCACTCACTCGTTCAGGTCTTCATGTCCCACGCAAAGTGCTCAGAACTCCTCCTTACTGTTATAGCTCTATCCCTTGGCATTTATTTACTCCCCTCTTACGTGGACCATTCTGTGATACTCTGACTGAGGTAGCTACACTAAATAAGTCAGCTTCCTCTTCTGTGAGACAATTCTTCAAATGCTTACAGAGTAGTGCAGAATCTGCTAAGCTAAACTCTAGAAGTTAAACATTCCAGTTCCTTCAATTATATTATTTATTAGCCATCTAACTGTGGTATGTCACAACAACAACAACGATAATAACTAACATTTATATAGCACTTTAACATTTGCAAAGCATTTTACATATGTTACCTCATTATAGACTCTTATCCTGTGAGTTAAGTGCTATTATTATCCCCATTGTACAGGTAAGGAAGTGGAGGCTGAGAGAGGCTAAGTGACTTGCTCAGGGTCACACAGCTAGTTGAGTGTCTTCCTGATGCCAAGCTCAGCACTTCTAACCACTACTCCAACTAGCTGTCTTAGTTTCTTCATCTATAAAATAATACTTGGAAATTAAACTTGAACCACTCCCCAAGCAGGATAGTGCTTTTTGAGAAAAGTACTTCGTATAGCACAAAGCCCTATAGAAATGTGAATGATAATGAGTAATGATATTTTTGTTGTTGTTCAGTCACTCAGTTTTGTCTGACTTTTCATGACCCTGTGGACCACAGCACTAATACTATCTGTGGCATTTTCTTGGCAAAGATACTGGAATAGTTTGCCATTTCCTTCTCTAATTGATATTATTATTATCTGCTTTTGTGATTCAGAGGGACAGGAGATCTGTAGACATTCTTTGGATAATGTTCAACCAATTGTGAATCCATTTAACCATCTGTCTCATCATTCAACCCACTTTTCTTCACTGTGTTTTTCTGCTGGTGTCATGACTATGACCTACCCCAATACCAATGTCTGTGGTCTATCATATGTTATTAGATAAGCCTTGGTTAAAATTATTCATGGTAGGAATCTAGTGTCATAAATAGCCTGGTACAGTGTAAAGAGCACAGGATTAGGAATATGTATGACCACGACAGTTCACTTTGCCTTTCTGTTCCTCAGTTTCCCCATCTGTAAAATGTAAGGGGATTGGACTAAATGATCTCTAACATCTCCTCCGTTACGGTCCCATGATTCTAGTCCTGGTTGTCTCTTTAATTCATTGTATAACCTCTGATGACTCATTTGGTGGACCTTTCTTTCTCAACTGTGAGACAGAAGGGTTGGAGTAGTTCTTTTCGTCTTTTGCATCTCCTTTGAATCTCCAGAATTCTGTGATTCTGTTTTTGGAAACAAGAATGGAGCTAGCCAAAGAAGCACAAATTATCAGAGTTCAGAGGGACCTCTAAGACCTAAATGGTCCAACCTGCACCTGAAAAGAAATCCTCCCTACAACATTTCTCATATCCAGATTGAAGAGTTCTAACAATGGGGAGCTTACTATCTACCAAGACAGCCCATTCCAGTTTTGGGCAGTTTTAATTATTAGGGAGTTTTTCCTTTAGATTGAGTCAAAATCTGCCTCAAGAATGTCTAACTTTAGTTGAGTCTTTTTTTTCTTCCTTTTTTGGCTAGGCAGTGGGGTTAAAGTGACTTGCCCAGGGTCACACAGTTAGTGTCAAGTGTCTAAGGTCGGATTTGAACTCAGGTCCTCCTGACTCCAGGGCCAGTGCTCTATCCACTGCACCACCTAGCTGCCCCGAGAATGTCTAACTGTTGCTCCTAGTTCTGGTCTCTGGGGCCAAATGGAACAATCTAATCCCCCTGCAGGTACCAACTCTTCAAACACTTGAAGACAGTCCCTGGACTGGATTCTCCTGTTGCTATTGTGATGATTTCTCAGGAAGCAACCCCATTCCCTATACCACCATCCTGTCTCCCACAGTGCTTTTCTTCCAGACTCTTGGTGAAAATTTGTTGACAAGCCAATGTGGTTTCATTATGGGACTAATATAAAGCTATCACGTTGTCAGACAGATTGATGAGGTAATCGAGTCAGAGAACCACAGAATCATAGGAGGCAGCTTCTAGAACACTAAGGCCCACGGAGGTTACTCAGGGGTCTCACAGGTAGCAAGCTGGAGTTCGAAGTCTTTGCCTCAAAATTCCAGTACTCTTTCCTCTGTACACACTGAAGGGACCTCTTACAACTTATGATCTCCAAAGTTTGGGTGTTACTTTCAACAAGGGCAGGGAATTCCAAACCACTGGCCCCAAGACAATTGCATCCAGAAAATCCTCTGGTGTCTGTCCTACTTGCTCCTTACTTTTCACCAGAGTACCACTTACCTGAAAATTTTTATTTCCTCCCACTAATCCCTGGACAGTATAGTCATGGACTTGTAATGTACCTTATGGCCTCCAGATTTTCTTTCAGTTCTAGATCTATGATCATATGACCTGAATGGCCTTTTGTTTCTTTGAGTTGGAAAGTGTCCCTGAAATGTTTATCATTCATGAGACCAGAAAATGCTTCATCAGCTGAAACCTGCTTACAGCAATAAACTGCTGTTCATTGACTGAATCATACCTGGGCCTCCCTTTCCACATCACATAGCTCTGCCTTGTCGCTGTGCAGGAGGAGTGTGCAGTGCATGCTGGTTAGCCGGCTGTCCAGAGAAAAGAAACTGACTGTACTCCCAGGCATGCCAGAGAACAGAAAGTGAGACTGGAAAACCAGACTAGAGGATGAGAGCATTAGATCAGAGAACTGTGGAAGCGAGTTGCTAGAAAAGGTACTCACTCAGGAGTCCAGGTAGCAATCTGAACAGCAGCACCCTTGCTTCTTCTTAGGAAAACTTGTGGGCCACAAGCAGCTGGTCACAACTGGTTGCTTTCCTCCCGCATCTCCAGCAAATAAACTCACAAGCTGCCCCTGGAAAGGGTCTGCTGCCCGGAATGAAGCAGATGGTAATAATTAGCCAGAAAGTCATTGCGTGGAAAGTTCCATATCCAAGGACGGCCCCTGGTGAGCAATGGACACAGCAAGACCTGCTTAGTTGCCTAGGGGTATTTCACTCTCACTCTCCTGGGGGAGGTGACTCAATATTGTGTCTGCTTCTTATTGTGTGACTCAATATTGTGTCCGTACCTCCTTGAAACCTCCTTTCAAAAAATCCCTTTAATTGTAGGTGAGACCAAAAAACAAGGTTTACTTGTTTCTCCTCTAGGGCTGCGAAACCTAGAAAGAGCTGGGAGTTGCTTTAAGGATAGTTGACAGAGTTTGGGGAGAAGAGATGGAAGGAGGGGGCAGAATTTGGGATAGTTGTGGGGATAAGTTGCAGAGTTAGGAGACAAGTGAAAGGGTTTGGGGACAAGTGATAGTCTGGAGAGAGGTGAGAGTCTAAGGACAAAAGACATAGATGATTTGGAGACAGCACAAATAGCACCGATTTTCACCTTGCTTTGGGATTTGTGCACCCAGATCCACCACAGACTTATTTTGGGGAATGACCTGTGTTTGTAAATAAGAGTAAAACTTTCTCCTAGTTTGAATTGTTGGTCCATTGTCCTCCTGAAAGACTAAAGCGCTATGGAATCAGAGCCTGAATTCTAAGTAGGCAGTGTAAAAAACATTTATTTTTAATAACTTTGGGGGAGCTAGGAAAACTATATGTTTCCCCCCCCAAATTTTCTACCAGCTACTAGATAATGCCCGATATTATTGCTAGAGTTTCATCTTTTTAACTTGAAACCCAGGAAAATACCTGTGGGAGGTATTTTTTGTTGTTATCAATCACTTACATCTTAGTATGAATAAAAATCTCTCTAGAGGAGAATGAACAGACAAAAGCTTAGAGGGGATTATTGAAATATTTTTATGGTACTTTAAGCATCGAAGTTAATATATTACAGTGTAAAGTTATTCATTTGTAAAGTAAGAATGCTGGACTAGTGGATCTTCTAGAGATGACGAGACTAGATGTTTCTTTCAGATCTTAACTCTGGAACCTTATTGTACCAGGTAAATAAACAATTTATAGGACTGATATTACATGTTGTTTTTTTCATATTTGAGATTTTATTTTTTAAAATTACATGTAATAACAATTTTAACTTTTTAAAAAAAATTTTGAGTTCCAAATTCTCTCCCTCCCTCTCTCCCTTTCCCCCTTTTTGGGAAGGCAACTTGATACAGATTATACATGTGCAGTCATACAGAGTGTTTTTCCATATTGCTATGTTGCAAAATAAGTAAATAAACCACAGACAGAAAAAAAAAGAACCCAATAAGAAAAATAAAGTTATTTTTAAAAAGTACGCTTTTGTCTGCGTTTGGACTTCATTAGTTCTTTCTCTGGAGGCGGATAGCATTTTTCATCATAAGTCCTTTGGAATTGTCTAGATCATTGTATTTCTGAGAATAGCTAAGTCATTCACAGTTGATCATCATACAGTATTGCTATTACTATATACAGTGTTCTCCTGGTTTGCTTACATCAGTTTGCATCAGTTCATGTAAGCCTTCCCAGGTTTTTCTGAAACCATCCTGCTTGTACTTTTTTTTTTTGAGGCAATCACACAGCTAGTGAGTGTTATGTGTCTGAGACCGGATTTGAACGCAGGTCTTCCTGACTCCAAGGCCAGAGCTCTATCCACTGTGCCACCTAGTTGCCCCTTGTCATTTCTTATAGCACAGTATAGTATTCCATCACAATCATATTCACAACTTGTTCAGCCATTCTCCAATTGATGGACATGTCCTCAATTTCCAGTTCTTGATCACCACAAAAAGAGCTGCTAGAAATATTTTTGTACATGTAGATCTTTTCTGGGTTTTTTTTTTTAAAGTGTCTTTGAGATACAGACCTAGTAGTGGTATTGCTCAGTCAAAGGATTGGTTGTTATCCATCATTTTCAGAGAGGACCAACATGACATCACTGTACTAGAGTCAAGTTTCAGTGTATCCGACTGTGGCTGATCAGACCAATATGAGCTTGCAATGCTCTACTCCAGGTCGGCCACAAATAGTCCATGTGAACCTTTGGGGTGGATTCTCTAAGTCTGCATATCTTATGTTTCTCTTGAGCTATTTCAATTCTGCTTTGCTTATAGAGACAGCACCTTCTCTGATGAGGGCACACCATGCTGTGTGTTCCTGTGCCAGTGTCTCCCATGTCACCCAATCAATTCCAAAGTCTTTAAGAGAGACCTTAAAAGTGTCCTAGTATTGCTTCTTCTGACCACCAGTTGAACGCTTGCTCTGTGTGTGTTCTCCATAAAATAGTCTTTTTGGCAAGCATAGGTTTTGCATTTGAACAATGTGGCCAGCCCATCGGCGTTGTGCTCTCTGAAATAGAGTTTGAATGCTTGGCAGTTTAGTTCAAGAAATGCAAAGTTTTATAGCCCTTTGGGCAAAGTTCCAAATTATTCTCCAGAATAGTTGGATCGATTCACAACTCTACCAACAATGTATTAGTGTCTCAATTTTTCCACATCCCCTCCAACATTTGTCATTTTCCTTTTCTGTCATACTAGCTAATCTGACGGGTATGCGGTGACACTTCAGAGTCATTTTAATTTGCGTTTCTCCAGTGATTTAGAGCATTTTTTCATATGACTATAGGTAGCTTTGATTTCTTCTTCTGAAAAGTGCCTGTTCATATCTTTTGACCATTTATCAATTGGAGAATGACTTGTATTCTTATATATTTGACTCAGTTTTCCATATATTTGAGAAATGAGGCCTTTATCAAAGAAACTTGCTATAAATTTTCCCCGTTTTCTGCTTTCCTCCTATCTCGCCTGCATTAGTTTTGTTTGTGCAAAACCTTTTTAATTTAATGAAATCAAAATTATCCATTTGTATTGAGGCAATGGGGTTAAGTGACTTGCCCAGGGTCACACAGCTAGTGAGTGTTATGTGTTTGAGACCGCATTTGAACTCAGGTCTTCCTGACTCCAAGGCCACTGTGCCACCTAGTTGCCTAGTTGTATCCATTATGTATCCCATAATGCTCTCTATCTCTTGTTTGGTCATATATTCTTCCCTTATCTATAGATCTGACAGGTAAAATATACTATGTTCCCCTAATTTGCTTATGAGATTACCTTTTGTGTTTAAATCATATACCTTTTTTGAATTTATCTTGTTGTACAGTATGAGATGTTGGTCTATACTTAGTTTCTGCCTAACTGATTTCCAGTTTTCCCAACAATTTTTGTCAAAAAATGAGTTTTTGTCCCAAAAGCTTGGATCTCTGTGTTTATCAAAACTAGATTACTATGGTTATTTACTACTGTGTATTGCGTACCTAATCTATACCACTGATTCAGTACTCTATTTCTTAGTACCAGATTGTTTTGATGACTATCACTTTAAAATACATTTTGAGATATGGTACTGCTAGACCACCTTCCTTCACATTTTCTTTTCATTGATTCCCTTGATATTCTTCACCTTTTGTTCTTCCAGATGAATTTTGTTATTATTTTTTCTATAAAGTAGCTCTATAAAATACTTATTTTTGGTAGTTTCATTGGTATGGCATTGAATAAGTAAATTAAGACAGAATTGTCATTTTTATTATATTGGCTCAATTAATGTTTCTTCAGTTGCTTAGATCTGATTCTATTTGCATAAAAAGTGTTTTATAATTGCATTCATAGAGTTCCTAAGTTTGCCTTGGCAGGTAGACTCCTAAGTATTTTATATTGTCTGCAGTTATTTCAAATGGAATTTCTCTTTCTTTCTTTTCCTGCTGGACTTTGTTGGTAATATATAGAAATGATGATCATTTATGTGGGTATCCTGCAACTTTGATAAAGTTGCTAATTATTTCAACTAGTTTTTTAGTTGATTCTGTAGCTATGTCATCATATCATCTGCAAAGAATGGTAGTTTTATTACCTTATTGTCTATTCTAATTCCCCTTTTCTTCTCTTATTGCTATGGCTAGCATTTCTAGTACAATATTAAATTGTAGTGGTGACAATGGGCATCCTTGCTTCACCCCTAATCTTATTAGGAAGGCTTCTAGATTATCCCCATCATACATAATGCTTACTGATGGTTTTAAAAAGATACTATTTATCACTTTAAGGAAAATTCCTCTTTACTTATGCTTTCTAGTGGTTTTTTAAAAATAACTATGAGTATTGTATTTTGTCAAAAGCTCTTTTTTGCATCTGTTGGGGTAATCATATGATTTTTGTTGTTTTTGTCATTGATATGGTCAAGCATGCTGATAGTTTTCCCAATATTGAAATACTTGGTATAAATCTCACGTGATCGTAGCATATGATCTTTGTGATATATTCCTATAATCTCCTTGCTAGGATTTTATTTAAAAGTTTTGCATCAATATTCATTAGGGTAACTAGTTTACAGTTTTCTTACTCTCTTTTTGCTCTTTCTGATTTAGGTATCAACACCATATTTGTGTTGCAAGAGGAATTTGGTAGCACTCCTTTGCCCATTTCCCCAAATAGTTTATATAGTATTTGGAATTAATCGTTTTTTAAATGTTTGGTAGAATTCACTTGCGAATCTATCTGGTCCTGGGGATTTTTTCTTAGTGAGCTCATTTGTGGCTTGTTTCTTTTTCTAAAATAGGATTATTTAAATATTCTGTTTCTTATTCTATTAATCTGGGCAATTTATATTTTTGTAAATATTCTTCCATTTCATTTAGATTGATAGATTTATTGGCATATAATTGGGCAAAATAGCTGCTAATAATTACTTTAGTTTCCTTTTCATTGGTGGTGAATAACAGCTTTTATTTTTGATACTGGTAATTTAGTTTTCTTCTTAAAAATCAAGTTAACCAATGTTTTATCTATTTTGTTTTTTCATAAAACAAGCTCTTCGCTTTATTTATTAGTTCAATGATTTTCTTCCTTTCAATTGTATTAACTTCTCCTTTGATTTTCAGGATTTCAA